TTAATTAGTCACTTAATAATTGGACAATTTAGGCTTTGCATCAAGTGGTGCAGCTGAATACAAAGCAGTGAGTTTTTCTGCAATTTCGTAAAGCAAGCTGATGATTTTTTGTGGCCAGCTTGGCCTCCTGCACAACAGATACAATATGCTTATTGATTCTCTCAGGACCAACTTTGGCGGTAAATGATGTCTGAATAAAAATCAATAAATAAAATACATGATTTTTTTACCACAGACGTAAGAGCTGATTGTAACTATTCAAAATAAAAAAAATAGTCACCTCAGAGGAAATTTAAATCAAATGAGTAAAATATCGGAAAGCTAAATAAACACGAAATAATCCAAATGAAAACGATGGCTACTGTATTACTATCCGATAAGTAAGCCCTCAGAAATTGGACAGTTATCTACGACCAAACATATAATTATAATAAAATTTGAAACAGGTATGAAAGCAAGAATCTCCAGAAGTATGAGAAGCAAAGTTGGGTTTCGAGGAATCTCTTGTTTCATAATTGTTGAGCTTACTTCCATTTCGAGTTAAAGTGTTGGGTGAAGAGATTCGAAGGTCGGTTCCACCAGAAGACGACGGTGGATTTCTCTTGACCAGCTGTCGATTGACTTTGCTGGAAGATTCATGCTGACGCTGTTTTCGAGACAATCTCCTTCGATTGCGGTGAAAAGGTGCTAAGCTTTCGTCAGCCATATGACGGACATCATCAGAGCGAGGTAACATCGTCACAACAAAATTCAGATTGAGTCAAAAAAACTCACCAATCCCTAAAAAGTGGTATATATATACTCTACATCTGGCCTCTTTGATCGAGTATAAAGTGATTTGGTTAGTTAAGGTCATATGTCAACTTTGATGCATGTGAGTGTGTCTGTCTCTGTATTTGTATGTGCATGTTTGTGTTCATTTATACACGAAGCCCGAAGTGATGGCTCAAAGTAATTAAGACAGTAAAAAGGAACATCTTTTTGTGGCCATCAAGGTTTGATGACCCCTATAACACTTTCACTCGAAATGGAGGTAAGCTCAACAATCTTCAGAAGTAGTAAGCTCGCCAGTGAAGTAATATTATAAGTTTGCTAACATTTACCTAATAAGAACCCTATGAAACCAATGTATTACTTCAGGTGAATGTATATAGCTAATATAAGCAAGCGATATACATATATATATACGTATAAGACTAATCTATTTTTTCCAAATACGATATTTACTACGAACTAGAAGTATATTTAACCCCCTCTATATGTTACTGATGTTTCAGGCCGAAATTCTAGTTCATCATGATTGCAAACTTTTTTTTAGAGAAATTGGGCTTTCCTACTTGTTGGCTATCAAAAAGTGAAAAATAAGAATAATGGGAGGAAAAATAGAAAGGCCCAATGGGCAGCTAGAGAGCTTAATCTCACCTTTTGCAAGGGAAAGGCTTCGCTAATGTGTGCCTCGACTAGATTACTTGAATCACGTCCAGAAAAATCTTTTGATCTTTTCTTATTATGCAAATTTCCAAGCTGAATGTCGAAGACTTCAGACAGACCATGAGAATTAGTTTTTGCGGGCTCTACTCCGACAATAATAACACTATCATCCAGGCTTTCGATGGTTTCAGATAGTTTATCTGTTTCATTCTGTTTATGCATAGCAAGGCCCGAATAGGAGCTGCTTCCATTTAGGAAAGGACAAGGGTCAGTCGATGCATGGGCCTTCGTACTCAACATTAAAGATGAAGATGGAGTGAACGAGGATGTTGAAACAATATTCTTACTGTCAGAGTTGCACGTCCCTCTGTGACTGGGATAGGCTAGACATAAGGAATCTTCGAAAATATCGCGACTGTAATAAGCGTCTAGGTTTGGTTGATTGGGATGGATGGGGGAAACGCAATGATGTGGGGGAGGAGAACGAGAGGGAGAGATATCATGTGAGGCACTTGTAGGAAGAGTAATTGAAATAGCAATTGTATCCCGATTAAGCATGTTTAGATAAGTAGATGGAGGATAGTAAGAGGTGGATGCAGCTGATGATGTTGTTTTACATAGGTTCGGGCATGGTGCTGAAGAATCTGCCAGGGGCGATTGGTCAGAGGCAGATCTATCGACTAATGGACTAGAGATACTGATTGGAAGACGGGAAAGGTGAAGATCGGGATCCGAAACAGCACCTCGTGATTGAAAAGATGAGGCAGAATGTAAGGATTCAGAGCACAATAAATCTGTAAAAATCAAATGGGTATCGACGGTTGCTTTAAAGGATTCGATTGAATTAGACATAAAATATGGATTAGATTCCGAAAGAGAAGTAGTAAAAGACAAAATGGGATATGACTGAGCTCTTGTTAGTGGCAGAGAACCCGTTACAGATTCATACTCGACAGCAGCTCCTTGCTCAACCCTATGGGCAGTTAAAGAAGCGCCTGCCGGAGTCTCATATTCACAAGTAAGGCTGCCGTGAGAAGAGGGATGAGTAGGTCCTAGATCCGTGGGAATATGAGATGTATGGAGAGGCGTGATTTCACATACACTAGTAGATGATTGGGTAAACATAGAAGTAGAGGTAACAGCGATACACTGCCGGTTCGATTCGTGAGATCGAGGCGATTGATTGATCCTCTCACATGCATGTGGATATAGAAGAGACCAACTAAAAATGAAGATATAAAAGAAAGTTCTTCCTTATTTCAGCAGAGTACATAAATTAAAAAGCATATGTTCTGGATATAAAAGCTTACTAAATCATTCCAAAAGTTATGTGCGAAAAGGATACGCGATGTAAAACGCATGCAAAGTGAGATAATCATTCGTATTCTTCAGTAAAGATGAAGACCAAGGTAGTATGGTCTTGAGCTTTCAGGGCTGTAAAGTCAATTCGACCTTAATTTTGAGACTTAGTTATATTTGTGCATACGAAGAATAACTGGGTTCCGATTAATCTCCAAAGATAGCATCGTTATCATGGCTCTCATTTCATGTGAAAACACCCGATTATAGACTTTTCGATCGATCTCACTAGAATATAGTTGATTGCTGCTGCTGTAAGGTGGTATTTTCGGGTTTAAGTACTCCACTAGGCATCCTCTGTTATTAGAATGAAATCTGGTTGAGCTTTCGTACTATGGCTTACTCACGTATAAACACAAATACAAGCGGGTGCATACCCAAGCACATTAGTACTTAAATTAAAATGTGAAGGAAATAGTTAAATTATTCTATATATATCTACCTATATCTATATCCATATATTTTCCTATTTAGTTATGAGTATATATAGGGCAAGGCGGAACTGGCTCATTTTATGAAAATGGGACGGAATAAAGCTCAGCCCACTTTTAACGGAAAAAAAGAAGGATGGCTATTAGATTGAGTAAACCTTAGTTGTAGTAAAATCAAAATAGGGCAAAGCAATAGAAATCTCCAGTCTTCCAATGAGATTTACCTACGGAAAGGATAAGTGAAGTTGAGTATCATCGTGAGGTCCACTTATTTCATTGTGAAAAAAACTTACTACCAGTCCTTAAATCCCCGTAAATGACTTAAG